TGGCGCTGGGGCTGCGGGGCTGGCTGCCCATGACCTCGATGGCGCTGGGGGCGGCGCTCCCGGGGCCTGGCAGAGGACGCGGCGGCGCGGTTCTGCAGGCGCCGACAGGCGTGGGTGACAGGCGAGGCGGGCTGGGCCGGACGGGGCGCTTCTGGGGGAGCTGTGCTCGCTGCTGGGCTGGGCCTCGCGGGTTGGAATCTTCTGCCATCCACGCCTGACCCGGATGCGCACTGGATGGCTAATTAGGTGGTAAGTGACGCCGGCGGAACCAAAGGCGCAAAATGTCACGCTGAGGCCCGCCCTTTCTGAGGCTCCGCCCCTGAGGCGGATGGGTGCGGGCTGCCCAATAGCAGTGGCGGTGGTTGGTAGGTCCGTGTGCGGAAGCGGTTTCACAGGCCTGTAGTGGGCAGAGCAGCTGTGCAGCGCTAGGCCTGGCTTCCGTGGTAAGGCCTCGGCTTCCTCCCGATGACCTGAAGACAGATGAGGCTTCAAGTCATGCAAGTGGAGTGGGCTTCTGGGGGAGCCGCCCCCTCCGTTGCTTGCCTGGCGCGTTGGGATCTTCGGCCCTCCATTCGCAGACGTGGATAAGCACGGGGTGGTCACTAACGTGGGCGCTTAGGTGACCTGCAGCCGCCAGGATGTCTCTTTGTGAGCCCCGCTCTGCCCAGCGTGGCCTAGAGGGGATTGGATGAGTGTGGTGCAGTAGCAGGGGAACTTGCCCTAGTGACCTTTACTGCTTTTATTCTTGACTTAAAAAATAGGCAAAACACAATCTCATAAATTACTTGCTTACTTTTAGAAGTAACCAATGTCTGATGTTTTTTCTAAGATTTTCCAGGAGGCTATGAAAAACAGCTCTGCTTTATCAGTCATCACTCCTCCACGCATCCCATATAAACCCCATATAAATGGTTCTACAAATTCCTTTCATGGGAGCAATTAGAAATGCAAATATTGCTTTGGTAGGAGAGCGTTTTTTTTTTTTTTTTGTCTTTTTCGTGACCGGTAAGGGGATCGCAACCCTTGGCTTGGTGGCGCCCACACCGTGCTCAGCCAGTGAGCGCACTGGCCATTCCTGTACAGGGCCGGCCCTGGTAGGAGAGCTTTTTAAAAACAACAAGGCCGGCCGAGCCTGTGGCGCACTCGGGAGAGTGCGGTGCTGGGAGCGCAGCAGTGCTTCCGCAGCGGTTCGGATCCTATATAGGGATGACCGCTGCGCTCGCTGGCTGAGCGCGGTGTGGCCGGTCTCAAAAAAGACAAAAAAAAAAAAAAAAA